CCGAAATCCATATTGATGATCAGAAAGTAAGTTATTTGATTCAAGATGAGAGATTAAGTGTTTGTTGATTAAAGATTCAAAAACCTTGCTTATGACAGGAAGAAGACTAATGGGACGGTAGTTAGATGAATCAGATCGCTCTCCGGAATTTTTGAAAATAGGGATAACAGATGCTGCTTTCCAGCATGATGGAAAACAAGACTCTGATAAGCACTTGTTAAATAGTTTAGAAAGTATGGATGAAAGCTCCGGAGAACACCTCTGCAAGACTACAACAGGAATGTTGTCAGGACCACAAGCTGTTGAAGAGTCTAAGCAGGAAATTACTTTAGATACAGAAGCTGAAGCGATGCGAATGTCAAGCAAGGGATCAACCTGTTTGACGGCTATGTCAGGTAAAACGCAACTGGTGGAATCAAGAGATGATATTGATGAAAAGTTCTTAGCAAACAATTCAGCTTTGTCTTTAGGTGAGGTAAAAAAGTCTGAACCATACAAGAGAGAAGGAATAACAGATTTGCCCTTATTATTGATACTGTTAAAGATTCTCCAGAAGTCTCGAGAGCCTAATTTTTGTGATGAGATACGAGATTTAATGACCTGGGAATAGCGAGCTTTGGCGTCAGACAAAACCTTTTTATAATGGTTTCTGGCGATAGTGAACAGATGTCTGTTTTCTGGAGAATTGTTTTGCTGATAGATATGGAAGTAACGGTTTCGATTAGAAATTGCTGCAGCGCAATGTGAGGAAAACCAAGGAGAAGAGTGAGGCTTGACCTGGAATCGTCGAGAGGGAATAAAAGATTCCATGCCAGCCTGAATCCACGAAGTTATGTAAGAAGCACATTTGTCAGCAGGAAGACGAAAGATTTCTACCCAAGGGCCATCACGAAGAAAATCACGGAAAGAGTCCCAGTCAGCTTTAAGGTAGTTGTATGTGGTACGGTGATAGGGGGATTCTGATGAAGTAGAAGAATTTGATAATAGTTTTAGAGAGATCAAACCGTGATCAGAAGTACCTAAGGGTGAATGTGGAGAAATTGAGCACTGACTAGGATCCAAAACAAGACATAAGTCGAGTAGAGAAGGTAAATGATTAGGGTTGTCTGGAAAACGAGTTGGAAAGTTGACTATTTGAGTTAGAGATTGAGAAAGGCAAAAGTTGAGGGCCTTAACGCCAGCAGAGTCACTGACACTAGAGCCAAGCCAATCGGTGTGATGGGCATTAAAGTCACCAACAACGACGATATTGGCCGATGGATAAAGAGAGAGGGCTTGGTCAATTTGATCAGAAATAACATCAAGAATAGTGCAATCTTGGGATGAAGGAGAGCGATATAGAACAAAGAGAAAGGCGATAGAGTGAAGTTGTGCTAAACGAAAGCACATAAATGAATAGTCTGTAGATTCAAACCTAGTTTCACGACAAATGGGTGAGTTCTTACGAATGTAGATGCCCAAGCCAAGCATGTGATTATTGGAGTCTTTACGAATTAAAGGAAGATAACCATCAACACTAAGATCACAAGATGGGACAGCCGAACTCAAATTAGTCTCACAAATAGCAAGTAGGTCTGGTGAACTTTGCAAGAGATAAGACTCAACAGAAGAAAAGTTACTTCGAAGACCACGAATATTAGTAAATGATAGGTTTAGAGAACTTGGTGATGACGATGGTTTTTTGTGTTTTTTAGTTTTAGGTACTTTAGTCATTTTAAATTTATAAAGAACTTGACTCAAGTATAGATAGTACTCAGAACACTATTAATAATTACTATTAATAAACCCTAAGCCGTAACAAAGGGCTCCAAATGTGGCCTCTGCAATGCACACCAAAAGTACAAACAGGGACACCATCCATGCGCAACATGGCACTGTTAGTACTCTGATATTTTTCGGCTGTTGATGGAATCAGCCTCTCTGAGAGCTACCACAGAGTTCGGGAAACCTGACTACCAGCCGGCCTCAGAACCATAAAACTGAGTTTTAGAGCTGTACCCTCATTAGGAGATAATAGAATGAGTTGCCCAGTCATAAAAATAGAGACACAAGCAATACCCACGCATTGAGTCAAGAAGATTCTCAACTATAAGCAACATTAAAATTTTCCTGATTCTCAACTATAAGCAACATTAAAATTTTTTAATAAAAGACCTTAAAAAAACCTTCTGAATAATTTTTACATAACGGGTATAATACAAAACTGACATAGGTCATGTACATTTGCCACATAGCCATTCTTCCTGATTATTTTCAAATAAAAATCGATATTCCTGTTTATTTCCTGGTCTTTTGCAGAAACCTAAATTCCCTGATTTAGATTTCTGCAAAAGACCAGGAAATAATCAGGAATTTCCATATTTTCAAAAATAATGCAATTTTTTATATTCTGAATATAAAAAATTGCATTATTTTTGAAAATATGGAAACTAATTATTTAGATATTATATAAATAATTAAACTGATTTTGCAGTTGCTATGGTTTTTTGCATTTATTGGGTATGTAATTTTCCTTAAACAACTAAAATTCAATATAACTAATAAAACTTAACCATAGCCTGTATAATATTATTATTAGAAATGTACATATACTACATATTATTCTAAAATATTACATTTAAACATTTTAAATTTTACACCTAACAAAACTTGTTTTTGCTAGTTCATTCGCAAGATTTCGGTTGGACCAATCTTTTCTCACATTTATTTCATATTAAGATCTTAGCAAGATCTTAGCAAGACCTTTTATTATCTTTATAAGATTTATAGATTTTTCCCGTCATCTATTTCTTAATAAAATCTTAATAAGATCTTAATAAGATCTTAATAAAACCTTATTAAGATCTTATTAAGATCTTATTAAGATATTATTAAGATCTTATTAAGATCTTATTAAGATCTTATTAAGATCTTAAAAAGATCTTAATAAGATTTTAATAAGATCTTATTAAGATCTTATTAAGATTTTATAAGAATCTTAATAAGATCTTAATAAGATCCTAATAATATCTTAATAAGATCTTAATAAGATTTTATTAAAATCTTATTAAGATCTTATTAAGATCTTAATAAGATCTTAATAGGATCTTAATAAGATCTTAATAAAATCCTAATAAGATCTTAATAAGATTTTAGCAAGATAATAATAAGATCCTAAAAAGATCTCAACAAGATTATAAAAAGATCTTAACAAGTTATTCAAAGAAATATTTTTGACAAATCTTATTTAGATACTGATAAGTTCTTACTAATTTATGTAAGATAAGAAAGATTTATCAGATCTTAGTAGATTCGTCGCTCTGGGTAATACAGTGAAAACCATTCACATTTATAATATAGACAATAAAAAGAAGCTTTTTTACTAACTTCTTTTAACATAATATGTAAAAGGAAGAAGTTAGTAAAAAAAAATATTATCACCAAAAACTAAAATATTATTAGAAAATCTGTAAATTTTTAATCAATAAAAAGGTAAACAAATGTATGTCTTTTCCAAAAACGAAGATATTAAGTAAAATAAAGAAAAGTCAGGTTTAAGATTGGGCCAGGTCGGGTTTTAGGTTTTTGGGCCGGGCCGGGTTTTAGGCATAACTGTTTGCATGTTCGTCAATTCAAGTCTTCCCAGAAAGTGTGTGCGATCTCACTTTTTATTTGTCAACGTTTAAGATAACTTTTTTAGACACACTGACCACAGCAGTTTTCATCATTTTACAGTTGTTCACGATTTTGATCAGTCCATGTAATTAAGAAACTTTTTTGCTATGTACGCAAAAACTATGAGAAACTTATTTCTTACGTTTTTTTTTCTTACGTTTATTCGTATTCACGTCTTTTTGCTTTTAAAAATGTTTTTGCTTAGAAAACAAGCTGCTATTTGTTTGTAAAATATATTATTTGATTGATAAACTTTGTATTCACAGAAAAAATTAAACTGAAGAATAGCATGGCTTCCTTTATAAATGTATTTACCTCATTTGATGCCTGTCTAATATTGTTTCCTTTATTTTACACTTTTATTTCCACAATACCCAACGTTAGTACAAATTGCTAAAGTTAAAGAATATAATGATACCTATATTTAAAAAATGTATTTAAAAACATAAAAAATTGTTTTAAATAAGCTCCATAAAATTTCTTTAAAAAAGTTTAGTAAACTAAATAGCTTACAAACTTTTGGAGCATTGTCAATAACAATAGTTCATCAGGAAACAAACTATTTGGTTTAAATGCGCGTATTGGAGAATCAAACAAAAGTGCTGGATGTTTTAATCGGGGTAGTAAAAACAGCCAAATACTTTATATTTGAGTATTAATATTAATGACTTTTTATTTTTTCATCAAAAAAACTTGTTAAAATTTTTTTTTATTACAAATAAACAGCAACTAGTTTTGTCGCTTTGTGCATTGAAAAAAACAGTAAACTTCAAAAAAACTGTGCATTGAAAAAAACAGTAAACTTCAACACAAACATTTTAAAAACAAATTTTAAACCTGTTTGTATTTCTATATTATAGTATTACTTAAATATACTGACAAAAGTGGCAAATAAATTGTATATCAATAAAAAGTTTTCTGTTTTCGTTATATTCTTATCTGCTTTTTTTCCTAAAATTTCATCAATTTTGGTAGTAGTAAAAAACAAGCACCCTAAAAAAAAAAAAAAAAGCAAAAAAAAAATTTTTCAGATATATATAAAGTTGCCTATATAATAAAAAAAAAAAATTAACTTTCTTTTAATTGTTACATTTTAATCAAAGTTATTAAAATCATTATCAAATATTTTTCTGTATTTCTGAATCACTTATCAAATTATTAATCTAATAAATATGTATATAAAAAAGTATTATAAAATAATTAAACATATATATGTTTTACATTCACAGCTTTGCATAATACAACACTACATGTCGTTGAATAAATAATTGAATTATTTATCTAAGAGTTTTATTTAATGTAATTTCTGAAAAAATATGATCTGAGAGTTTTAATTATTTTATTAGTAGTCAAAATGAATCCAATATCGTCATATAACCAACCAAACCAAACAATTTTACAGACTGAAAAATATCAGTTTTTGTGCGCTAACATGCAAAAAAGGTAAAGTGAATGCTTTTTTTTTTTTTAACTATAATAAATATAAAGAATTTAACCAATCAACCATAAAACTTAAAAAAGAATTTATAAACTGTTTATAATTATACAATTATGCACTCATAAAGGTACATTTCTTTCATTTGCCTTAGTAATGTAAAAACAAAAACTAAGCCTTTTAAATTTTTATTTTCTTATTTTTCAATTTTTATAAATCAAGGTTTTCATATGGTTGCTTTTCGTTCAAGTGGTAAAATATTTGTTTTTACATTCAAAACAAATGTTTTATCACAGCCCCCTATTTTTATTCATAAGTTGAGGCAAAGCTAGAGCAGTTTTATCTCGGTAACAATCAATCATTTAACAAAAATCTTTACACCTCCTTCCTTACCAATGTCACTTAATAATAAGCCAGCATGAAACCACGAATTTCTTAGTTTCAAGCCGCAACACTAACATTTGTGCCATGGCTGCTATAGTGATGTTTTGTTTTTAATCTGTAATTTAAAAAGTTAATTTTTGTTAGTGTTTTTGAATTTACTCATTAACCTGACAAAAAGTTTCTCGCTTTTGTAGTTTACTACAACTAAGTGCATATTTTTGAAGGAGTTTCTCTCAAGTCTCATTTTCAGTGTTATTTCTTGATTTTTAAAACTTAATAAAGTTTAATTAAATAAAGTTATTTGATTAAGTATGTGTAAATGTTGGCATAAAACTTTTTTTACAGTAGTGGAGTTATTTTTAAAATGATTTCACATCAAAGTTTGACGGGTTGGTGCCTAACCAAACCATAAAAACAGCAACCAAGAAACATATTTTATATGAAACACATTTGTTGGGTATTATATAAGAAACATGTATTTCCTTTGGCCAATCTTTGGTGTTTTGATTAACAGGACAAATAGAGTACCTTACAATTCCAATAAAAACTATGATTTTTACTATTAAAAAATGAATTATAAAACAATTTTTTTTTAAATTTATTTCTAGTATTGCTGCTATGATTTTTTAATAATCTGGATGTAAATAAAATTGACTGATTCTGAAATTTTATGAGTCAATTTTATGAATAAGTAGTAACTTTTTAAAGTTAATTTTTTAAAAGTAATTTTTTAAAGTTTTTGTAAGTATAATTTTTTTCTTTTTTAAAAAAAATTTTCTTAAAAAAGTTGAAAAAGAGAGAAGAGTCTAATTCTTATTTGCTTTTTTATTTTTTAAGTATCATATCATTTAAATATAAATGGAATAAAATAATATGAAAGCAGGGCTTCTCCAAAACAGGACAATTTTTATGCAGGTCTTAGGAACCCCATTAAATTATTGCTATTTATCAAAAACTCTATACAATCACATTCACAATATGGTTGTATAGATAACATTTAGATTTTGAATCTTCACAATTTAATTTTTCTCCAGTGCACCAAATCAGCTTAGAATGGCCATGTTTTTTTGTTTTTTTTATTTTATTTTAATTCACCTCCTCAATGCCGAGAAGGCCACTACAGACGAGGAGGCTACTTATTTGTGGTTTTAACCCTCTCTCAACTCTATAACTCCGAAACACGAACCTTGATGAACAAGGCCGCTGCGCGGAGAAACGAGTTGGGCGCGGTACTACCAGGGACGTGGTGGGGATCGAACTCGGAACCACTCGTTTATGAAGCGAGCGCTCTACCACTACCGCTTTATGTACCACAAATGATAGCCCTGTATTTCAAATATAGAGAATGCAAAAAATATTAAATGAACACATATCCAAAGTTTGATTAAACAAAAGTATTGCTATGATGCTGTGTTTTTAATAAAGTTTTAACAGAGTAAACAAAAAACTACGTAAGTATTTATTAAAGTCACGCATTTAAGGTGTTTTTGTGCTCACTTTTTTTCAAATTGGTTTAAACTTTTTTTTCGGTTTGTTTATGGTTAAAAACAAAACAAAAGTCATTTATTTAATAAATTTAGAATTACAGATTTTAAAAAATAGCAAAGAAAAGTTAAATTAACTTTTACTTTTTTAATATCTTCTTTTGTATAAACAATTTTTTCAAGATTTTACCAATGCAGTTGTTCTAGCAGTGACGACGTTATGTTAGTAGTAAAAAACCTACTCCAAAGTTACAAAAGTTGCTGGTATATAAAGATATTTTTGTGCATAATTTGATAAAATTGGTTACTTCAACTTCATAGTTTTCCACCACTCAAAAAATATTTGCCTTTTCTTTATCTAGTTCGGCTACTAAATAATGATTAATTTTTAAGCCAAGTTTAGTCCTTATTGAAGCACTGCGCGCTGAAATATATTGTTTCAGTCTTTTTCTACGCAGTTCACAGTGATCAACTTTAACATTTTTATCACTTTCATTGTCTGTTTTCCAGCTACTTATTGCAGTTTTTTCATGTTTTTTTCCTTTTTCCTGAATCAAGACTTCTTTATTTAATTCATCATATTTTTTATATTCAGGCCTTTGTAATGTGGCAAATGCAGGCCTTTGTAATGTGGGTCTAAAAAATTTGAAAATCAATTAATCAGCTGATTCGCACCATTAAGAGAATACCTTTCCTGCAGTTCACAAATCAACATTTTTATAAATTTTTTTGTTAGCTTATGTTTATTATGTTGATGGGAAAGAATATAATTTAGGTATTACATCTTGGATTGTTGGTCTTTTATCGGCTGATAAGGTTAGTGAAGTATTGTAAATTTTTTCAAGAAATGAAATGCTGTATTCTAATGTGTTTCATTGATCATCTGAGGGACATGACTTTTCAAAATCATCATTGGTTTTTGCAAATATTTGAGTGCATCTTAGACTTCAACTTTATGCACATTTAATCCTAATTCCATCGTGTTACTTCTGGAAAATCTATGAGAAATTCAATTGCTTGTGTTAAATCATTAAGAAAACTATTTGTAACCCCTCGTTTACCTTTTCATTCAACATAGGAAATTTTTTACGTCTAAATTTTGATGCAGTTGTCTACCAGTTTATTTTAAAGATTTAAAATGCAGCAGTCCACAGTTTGTTTTAGAGATTTTAAAGTTTGTTTCAACTCTTCTTCTTTCTAAAAATATACTATGTGTATATATGTTTCTGAAAAGAAACTCCTCAAAAATACGTTTGCCTTAGGCTACCTAAAAAAACGTCAAAAAAACGAGTCACGGAATTTTACCACAAAATTCGGCTCCGTAAATCGCTATTTCCGCGTACCTAATATTATGCTCACATTTTACAAGATATTGATATCATACTCTCAAAAATCTTACTCCATCATGGCCCGCAACATTTATTTTAATTTCACGGCAAATAGTATATATATTACTTTATTTTGTATACATTTTTCCCTTTTTTACTTTGTTTTTCTGTGATTTGAGGTTTCTTAAATCGAGTAACAATTATATATTGTTTAATCCAGTATTTATTAATTTTTTTCACCTTTCAAATTTTATATCGGTTTTTTAAAGTTTTTTTGGTTACGGTTTGGTTTGGTTTTATTTAAAATTATTAAATCGGTTCGGCTTAATTCGGCTTCATTCTGCTTTATTTTTTGTTTCTGTTTTCACCAAAAGAACTGCTTCATGTCCTGCTGCCTTGTAGGATATGCCTTTTTTTAATCGAAGGCTAGGAGATGCACCGAAAGAATCTGCTTCATGTCCTGCTGCTTTGTAGAATATGCTTTTTCAGGCAAAGGCTAGGAGATTCAAACCCCCTGCCTTGAGGCTCTTGGTTAAGTAAAAGCTAGAGATGGTGTCTCGATAAAAATACTTATCTTTGGCAGATCTTAAATGCATCCGACTGCTGTCTTGTAGAAGGCCTCCTAGGTATAGGCTAAAGGGTTAAAAAGATTCTATCTGATGACCAGCCTCGCACCCCTTCTCCATCAATTATGCTGGCGCAGATGTATTTTTAATACATTGTTTCCAGTTTAGGATGATGAACGCTGGATCTTCTTGACTCGATACATGGGTTTTGCTTGTGTCTCTGTTTTTATGACTAGGCAACTCATTCTATTATCTCGAAATGAGGGTAAAACTCAATTTTATGGTTCTGAGGCCGGCTGGTAGTCAGGTTTCTCGAACTCTGTGAAAGCTCTCAGAGAGGCTGATTCCATCAACAGCTGACAAATATCAGAGTACTAACAGTGCCATGTTTCGCTTCGATGGTGTCCCTGTTTGTACTTTTAGTGTGCATTGCCGAGGCCACATTGGAGCCCTTTGTTACGGCTTAGGGTTTATTAGTGGAAATGAGGCAATTGCTTGGGCTATAAAACAGTGCACTGAGTACTATCTATGTTTCGAGTCAAGTTCTTAAACAAATTTAAAAATGAATAAAATAACAAAAACTATAAAACACAAAAAACCACAGTCATCACCAAGTTCGCTAAACGTATCATTCACCAATATTCGTGGTCTTCAAAGTAACTTTTCTTCTGTTGAGTCTTATATCTTGCAAAGTTTATCTTGTAATCTTAGTATTGATGGTTATCTTCCTTTAATTCGTAAAGACGCCAATAGTCACATGCTTGGCCTAAGCATTTACATTCGTAAGAATTCACCCATTTGTCGAGAAACTAGGTTTGAATCCACAGACTACTTTTTTATGTGCTTTCGTTTAGCACACTTCACTCTATCACCTTTCTCTTTGTTCTATATCGCTCTCCTTCATCTCAAGACTGCGCTCTTCTTGATGTTATTTCTGATTATATTGACCGAGCCTCATTCTTTATCCATCAGCCAATATTGTTGTTGTCGGTGACTTTACTCACATTGTTCATCACACTGAATGATTAGCTCTAGTGCAGTGACTCTGCAGGCATTAAGGCCCACAACTTTTGCCTTTCTCAATCCCTAACTCAAATGGTCAATTTTCCAACTCGCTTTTCAGACAACCCGAATCATTTACCTTCTCTACTCGAATTATGTCTTGTTTCTGATCCTAGTCAGTGCTCAGTTTCTCCGCACTAACCCTTATGTGCTTCTGATCATGGTTTGGTATCTCTAAAACTAT